TTTTATATATTAATTTATTAAAAATGTTTAAATTTTTTAATAGATAATTTTAACATTTTAATTATTAAGAGGTCCCAACCATTGTTAATTTAGTTAGTAGACGCAATTTTTAGGTTTTTTTTTTTTTATTAATTTCTTGATATTCGATAATCATAGAATTTCGATTAATTCAGAATCAAGTTGTGTTGGATCCTATTAAGGGTTCATTTTTAGGTTGTTATTAATAATAATATGGGTAAAAATGTTTATTAGCAGTATTGATAAAAAAATTAATTAAAAAAAGACTTTAAAGTTGTATAAGTTTAATTAATTCTTATGTAGTTTTAATTAATTTAATTAAAACATCTTAACTTTTAAAATAAAGATAAGGTTTACTATATTTTTTACAATATTTTATTAAAATAATGTCATTTTAACCTCTAAATATTTATTTATCTAATTTTTTTCAACTCAAATCAATAAATATTAATATCTAATACACTTATAAAAAAAAAACTTTTCTTACATAATGAACAGCCTCCCATAAATAAACAAGTAAATAATAAATTAATAAATTAATAAATTAATAAATAAAGAAAACAAAATCCAAGACTCCAAATAAGAAAAAACCAAAAACCCATTTGTCAAACGGAACACTTCCAGCAAGTCTCTCTCAAGATTCAATCACGGTAAGTATCAGTGTCTGCTTTCTCCATCACCTCCGCAATTCATCTCCTCATTCCTCCCAAAATCTGTTATTTTCCCATTTTCAGATCATTTTTTATTCCCAATTTGCTTTGTAAGCTCTGTATCAGTCTCACTCTGACCACATATATTTGATGTATGGAGTTTTAGATCATTCCGTTTCTCTGTTTTTTCTTCAATAATTTTGGAAAGTTTGAATCTTTAGCAGTGGGGTTTATGTTTTGTACTGTAAATTCTTATTCTTGGAAGTTTTTTTTCTTCTTTGCAGATTCAGCAACTTGATCATACTTTTTAATATCTTGATTTTCGGGGATCAGTGATTTCATTCTGATTCGAGATACCCATATATAATATGTTGGGAGATGAGGTTTAGATTCAAGAAATGGGGTGTGTTCTGGGAAGAGAGAGGAGTTTGGGTGTGGTTACAGAGTCTAGGGAGGAGAAGAAAGCTAGTATTGAATCCAGTAGGAGGATAGAGAATGTGACAGTGTCTAAGACGGAGAGTAGTACTGTCGAGGTTCAAAAGGAGGATGCCCAGAAGGAGGAAAAAGCTGATGGGGATAGAAAACAAAGAGGGGAGAGAAGGAGGTCAAAGCCAAACTCGAGGTTGAGTAACCCACCCAAGCATTTACGTGGGGAGCAGGTGCTGGCTGGGTGGCCATCATGGTTGGCAGATGCGTGTGGAGAGGCTCTCAGTGGGTGGATCCCGCGGAGAGCAGATACCTTTGAGAAGATTGAAAAGGTAAACAGCTTAATGTTTTCGATTGATCCTTCTCTTTTTATGGTCTTATATGAAATGGAAGAGAATATGATTAAAAATATCAGTTTATATATTTTGTTTGCATGGAATGACTATGGATGCTGGTCAGTTTTTGTTATGGAAAGGAAGCAACTCTATTTTGTTAATCCTTAGAGAAAATGATTTGTTAAGTTGGCAGTTTTATATTCAGATAGTTACTTTTGCTTGTTGATGTCAGATTGGGCAAGGGACATATAGTAACGTGTACAAAGCTAAAGATGTGTTATCAGGTAAAATTGTTGCCCTAAAGAAGGTTCGGTTTGATAATCTAGAACCGGAGAGTGTTAAATTTATGGCTAGAGAGATTCTCATATTGCGGAGGCTGGATCATCCAAATGTTGTAAAATTGGAAGGTTTGGTCACTTCGAGGATGTCATGTAGTTTGTACCTGGTCTTTCAGTATATGGATCACGATCTGGCTGGACTTGCTGCAAGCCCAGCTGTAAAGTTTACAGAGCCACAGGTTAGCCTCAACACCTAGAATTTAACTGAAGGTACACATCCCAAGTATACTTCCTTGGCAGGGTAGTGAGGATAGTAGCATGCTTAATTGTGTTAACATTGCAGGTAAAATGTTACATGCGTCAACTACTTTCTGGACTTGAGCACTGTCACAGCCGTGGTGTACTTCACCGTGATATTAAGGGCTCAAATCTACTTATTGATGATGGAGGAGTACTTAAGATTGCTGATTTTGGATTGGCAACATTTTTTGATCCAGATCGCAAGCTCCCCATGACAAGTCGGGTGGTCACTCTATGGTATCGAGCCCCCGAGCTTCTTCTTGGGGCTACTGATTATGGCGTGGGTGTGGACTTGTGGAGTGCCGGATGCATTTTAGCTGAGTTATTGGCTGGGAAACCCATTATGCCTGGCCGTACAGAGGTAATCTTTACTTCATTTACAGTTTATTTTATTCTGCCTCAATTACTAGATCTTGTGAATGTAGCTTTATTTTATTGTCCTTTGGCTATTCAACTTTTTGAAGTGGAAGAAATTGTTGGGGTAGTTTTTCAATTAGAACCATTTATTCCTCTCAATAAGTTGATTCAATTTTATTTAAAAAACTCAATACTTTTTTTTTTGGCCACCAACAAACTCATAATTGAGGTTTACATCTATTCACTTTTGGAATAGAATATCATGTCTTGATCAGCTTTTGAGGTTCTCTGACATCTCAATATTGCATCTTGGACATGAATGGATAAATCTAAACATATTTCATACTGCATCTGCTATTTACTGTAACCTCTTCTGTCACATAGGTGGAGCAACTGCATAAAATCTACAGGTTATGTGGTTCACCATCAGATGAATACTGGAAAAAGTCAAGGCTGCCAAATGCAACCTTATTCAAGCCCAGAGAACCTTACAAGCGATGCATTAGAGAGACATTTAGTGATTTTCCACAATCATCACTGCCCCTGATTGATACTCTTCTTGCTATTGATCCAGCAGAGCGTCAAACAGCCGCTGCTGCATTAAGAAGTGAGGTGAGTTCTTGGATTTTCATGACAGCCGTCTTTTGTTTGTAATCCTTGTAGTTTCTTTTGATGTTTATTTTTTCTTAGCATGTGTAAGGGACACTTTTTTTTTCTCCTTTCATTTTTTTTGATTCTTTATGTCAATAAACCTAAATATCCCATGAAAATTTTGTGCTGATTTCAAATTAAAAGAGAAAAATGAAGAAAAGATATTTGTCTCTTTCATGGGATGTAATTGTATCCCTTTTTTTAATTAGCAAAGTAGTGCTTAACTATTGTAGATGTTTAAACGTCTAACCTTAATCCCAGAATTAAGGTTTTAAAGCTAGTGGATCCTATCCTGTTGTACTATCATCTATACTTTCATACTTTGGGAATGTTTGAGCCTAGTTGAGAGACAACTCTATTGTTTTAGTTAGTAATCTGTATATTATGGAAATATCAATGTAATGCCCATTTATATATTGAGGTTAAAAAATAGTAGGTTTGAAACAAAAAGAAACTAGAGGTAATATTTCTAGTAAAAGTTCACATATTTGCACATAAAATTCTTATCTCAAAATTTTTCCTTTCAGTTTTTTTTTTTTTGCCAAAGAAACTTTCCATTGGTACCAGAAAAGGTGCTTACGAACAACTTTTCCTTTCTGTTTCAATAGCTTGAATTTGTTTATCAATTGTCATGGAATTTAAAATGATTTATGGCAAAGTGCTAAAGTTTTATTGATGATAATGTTTTTTTATTTTATACTTCTTGTGCAGTTCTTCACAACAGAACCTTATGCTTGCGAACCTTCTAGTCTTCCAAAATATCCCCCAAGTAAGGAGATGGATGCTAAACGGAGAGACGATGAAGCTAGGAGGTGAATGACTTTTACCTTCTCCTTTCAACTGACTTCTACCTTCTCCTTTCAACTGACTTCTAACTTTAGAAGAATTTTTCTTTTCCTTTTCAGCAGCTCAAGTAAGAATGTTTGCTAGGTGTTATCATTGAAGGATTGCCAAATCCTTTCCTAAAGGAATTTTTTTCTATACGAAGTATAAATTCATGTGTACATAAACATTCATCTTGGTTAGGGTGGCAAAAACTGGCTCACTTCTCCCATTCTTTTATTTATCTGATTGTTTAGAGAAAGAGGGGGTTTTGCTGTTGCATCAGGTGTATGGGTGTGCATGCATTGTATTCAGGACAAGTAGGGGAAAGAAATAAAAGAAAAGCGAGGAAAAAAAGGGAGAAAATAGAGAACTAGAATAAAATTAGGGTTGGCAGAATTTTGCTGTTGCCAATTTGCCATTTTGCTACCTTTATTACAGCTTTTTTGTGTACTAGTTCATCGATTTTTTTTTCCATAATACTTGTGCATGCAAGCTGGAGTTATGTATCGCATGTATATATGTCAAATCTGAGCAGTTTCCTCGCTTGCTATGCTTGTGCAGACTAAGAGCTTCTAAAAAGACCCAAGGTGATGGTACAAGGAAGACACGAACACGCGATCACCATGCTGCACGGACAATTGCTGCTCCAGAGGCCAATGCCGAACTTCAACCTAATATTGATGTATGTCCAATAATCTGCTTTAATTGACAACTGTTTTTTGCTGTGGTTAGTGGTTATCCCTTTGTTTTAAAAATTAAAATGGTCAAATATGTCAACTATTTGCTTTCTTCATGAAACAGAGAAGGCGTCTGATAACACATGCAAATGCAAAGAGCAAGAGCGAAAAGTTTCCCCCACCACATGAGGATGGAGCGCTTGGCTTTCCTTTAGGTGCATCGCACCACATTGATCCTGCTTTTGTTCCCCAAGACGTCCCCTTCAGCTCTGCCTCATTTGCATATTCAAAAGAACCAGTTCAAACCTCGTCAGGTCCATTGGTCGATTCTTCTAGCACAGGTGCTCCAAAGCGAAAAAAGCACGGTGCAGGTGATTCACAAGACCCATCAAAAGGACATCAAAGGGACAGAAATGGTGATTCCCAGGTCAAAGGAAAGAAAATCGTAATTTGAACTCAATGCTTTCTTAAGAGAGAGATTCATGAAACCAGCAGACTGCACATGCAGACACGGTTTCATGAGTCTTTCTGCTACTTGAAGAAACAAGTAAATATTACTTGGGGCCTAGCCTTTTCCCTCATAGAAGAACGTATTGTTTGGTTAAACTGTGTATCCATTAAGGGATGAAATCAGTTTTTATATATATTTTTTCCCTTCACATCACCATTCTTTTTGGCCGAAGAAAAAGTTCTCCATGGGATATTGAGATGTTTTTCAACTGTTATGTATATTATGTCTCTTTAATTTTTTCTTTCTTTCTTATTTTTAGTTTTATGTTTTTGTTTTTGATTCAGTAAGTTCTTTGTGCTGAAAATTGTACAATTTTTAGATCACTGGGGAACACACAGTTATAAACTTCTAATAAATGCTCCAAATTTACGATCTTCTCTTGATAATCTTTGTTTATTTTTGCAAATTTCTGTTCATAATTATTTTTCAGAATGTTTTGTGTACTCAGCTACAAAATTAGCCTCGGATGGGGGAAAGATTCCTAAATGTGGGGCTTCGGTCAAATATGAAAAAATATGGCTAACTTCTTGTGGTGGGTTGCGTGTATATTGGTTTAGAATTGAAAAAGTTGAATAACCGAACTGAATCGAAGTTTTTTGGTCCGATTAAATGGTTAATTTGGTTTAAGTTGTATTTAATCAAACTGAGATTTTGGTATGGTTCTGGTTATTAGTTTGAAAATTGCAAAATCAAAAAGAGCTTTTAATTTAATCAAATTAATAAAAGCATTTTGATTTCAATAATAATATAATTATAACGTCATATAAAATTATAAATTTATAATTATGATATAAAATTAAATAAATATAATATGATATTAAATGAATAAATATATATAATGTTATAGATGAAATCTTGAATGAAAAGAGTTAAAAATATAACGACATAATACTATGTAACGTTATAATTATAATATTTTGTTTTGATTTAACCCAAAAATCCTAATTGAAATGAATTTTTAATACAAAAATGAAAAATTTTTTGATAAAAAAGTTGAAGAGTATTTCATTAATCAAATACTAAATGTACATTAAATTAGTATGCAATTTAAAAGCATTAAATTAGTATGCAATTTAAAATAGAAGTTGTCCTATAGTACTAATTACAAAGAAATTTGCATCCATAGAAAAAAAAAAAACCTCTATTAAGACGAAAAAGACGAACTCATTTGTAACTAAAGATTATGAAAATCAATCACTATAAGAGACAATAACAAAATAACAGACATGGTAAGGTTATCATGATGAGCATCTTTCGCTTCTAGATTACCTCTTTGTTATGTCAGCCTTTGGAAGAGCAGTTACTTGGGTTATTAACACTCCCCACCCATTGAAAGCCCTACCACATCTATGATGGTGTTAGCAAATGGCAGGATATATACTTCCTTGATCTACCTTTCACTTGCAAGCCTACACCACCAATCTCTACCTTCAATTCATCAGCCTTCTTCAAATCCAAACTCCTTTACCACTGTTGGCTCCCATTCCTCACTTATCATGTAGTAATCTAGAGGGAAGGGACTCAACTTATGCCAAAATCTTATTCCTATAGTTTTTAATGACATTTGAGAGGAATTGACTAGAATCTTTACGTGGAAAAATTGCTGACATGTTGTGTGACATATCAATTTTAGACAATGGGGGTAATGGACACGTGAGGTATGTGACATTTTATAGTTAAATTGGTGTTAAAACTACCAACCCATGAGATTGAGGGTCTTAAAGTTACAATTTTATAGTATGAGGAAATCTAGGTTTAAATTTAAAAAGTTGAGGGGCCAAAGGGTGACTTTTTCCTTCTGATTGTTTGCGTCTTATTTTAACATAAGCCCTTAGGAAGTTTCTTCCTTTGTATATATATTACAGCCCTCATCAAGAAGTTATGGTAAAAAGCCAGAAAGTAAAAACCCTTATGCATTGATGAACCCCATTAACGAGGAAAGCAGTTTTCTTTCTTTCCCTTTCTCTGTGAAATCTTCCCCCAAGAAATCCCCGGAAAGATACCATATTGTCATCGGTGAAGGAAACTCTATTAGCAGAAGCTGAACAAAGACAATGGAGGAGAGCAACAACATAGCAAGCAATGTCGCTCGAGCCATTGCTGCTTCCCTTGATTTGAACTCTACTGCCGATGCTCGCAAAGCCGCTCATGCCTATCTTAATTCGGTACTCTCTCCTCTATTCCATGGATTCACGCTTTTTCAAATAATTGCTTGTTCTTTTGTAATTTACCTTTGTAGTGTGTTTCTATCAAATGGGTTTTAACTTTGATTGAGGAAACTGATGGTGGGTTGTGCCAAATTGGTAAATTTCTGAAATTTTTAGCCAGTGGTTAGTGATTCGACTGGGTTTAGGGGTTTGAGGAAAAGGGTAGCTCTTATTTGAACTATTTATTTTGTTTCAGGGTTTTGGGTGTGAATAAATATATGAATATCTATTCTGTTCTGTGGTTTCAGGTATTTATAAATGTAAAATATTGGAACTTCTTATGATTATTTTATTTGGTTATGGTTTTTATGTAAAAAAATGATAAGTAAATAGTTGTTGCAGTGTGGACTTTGTATCATACTTCTCTACCATAGAGATCTGGACAGTAAGCCATAATTAACTTGCCAATCTTGAAATTTGGTCCCATCAATTGTATTTGAGCTGTTTAGATGTAATAGACTTGAATACTTTTGGCTCAATCGGTAACACTACTGTTGTTTTAGGATTTTAGCAAAAGGCATCTTATCATGCATTTGTTGTTGCAATTTAACTGTTTCAAGAAGCGTGTAATCTTGTCAGTTTTGTTTCTTGTATGAGTTAAGATGGCATTTAGAAGGTTCCTTTTTCTTTAACATTTTACTCATTATTGAAAAAATGGACCCCCTCAAGTTTCATGGTGAAAAGAATTTGTAGAATTGTAGTATGTCAATACTCGAAAATATATGAACCACTGCAAGGTCATAGTGTTATGGAAATTTGGCATTCATATATTAATCAAAGCACATTTTTCAATGTTCACATTAGTTCAGTTACTTACTTCTCTTTTAACAATTCATATTTTGCAGTTTGAAGCAGGGGATATACATGTTTTGGCAGACACATCATTTCTTTTGGTAAAAAAAGATTGGTCTTCTGAAATTCGGTTTCATGCATTTAAAGTGCTCCAGGTGAATGCTGATAACTTATTACTTTTCTTTTGTCTCTTCTTGCCTTCAAATTTGATGATGCTGATGTAGTCTAGATCATGTTTTTAACTGAACCATTATTATGGGCATAATGGTGATAGAATTCTGAAATAGGATGACTTCAAATTGTCACTCGTCTACTGAATATTTGATGCTCCCTTTTAGCTGTCCCCCCTCCTCCTCCCCCCCCCCCCCCCCCCCCCCCCCCCCCACTATTCATATTTCAAACCTGAGTGTTCACACTATCTGTTCTTTGTTTCCATTTGAAAAGAACCTGGAATGGAAATTTCAGGGACATCTTGATTTGATTTTCTGCTGAACTGGCTAGCAGTGTGGATTTCCCCAACCTATGATGTTCAGGATGTTGTTTTGTTATTTTATGACTAGCAAATTATGATGATAACAGTTTCAAACTTTTGTTACTTTGTGCAGCATATGGTTCGGTTGAGGTGGGAGGAACTAAATCCTGCTGAAAGAATGAATTTTGCAAATGTTGCTGTTGAATTAATGCCTGAAATAGCAGATTCTTGTGAACAATGGGCTTTGAAGAGTCAGATGGCTGCCCTTGTTGCTGAGGTTTTCATCAAATTGCTATATCTTTTTCTTAGTTGTGCTGGACATAATCATTTCACAGATAATGTTTTTGCCCTTCTTTTTTGGATAAGCAAAAAATATATTAATGGGAGTACAAGGGGTGTGCCAAACCCTTACACCTATGCCTCAAACTTACATATATTAATGTTTTTACCATTTTTCAGATAGTTAGAAGAGAAGGCCTTAATCTATGGCAAGGCCTGCTTCCTTCGTTAGTTTCTCTATCAAGCAAGGGTCCTGTACAAGTAAATCTCTTCATTACATGTTACATGTTGTATTTTCTATGGGCTTACATTAAATGATTCTGCTAACTTTTTCCATTTTATTTAGGCTGAGTTGGTGTCCATGGTGCTGAGATGGCTTCCTGAAGATATAACAGTTCACAATGAAGATTTGGAAGGTTCTCAACTGCATTTCCTGTGCTCTTTCTTTTTGTCGTTTGTGTTGTGTATATATCATTGTTGAGCTGCTCTTAAAGTTGAACATCACAAGTAGAATGCGGGTTTCTTTCTTCTCCCTTTTTTTCTCTTTCTTTAAATGGTTTAAAGGAAGTTATATGTGATGTTTTATGTTTAGTTTGTATTTTCTTGCTCTTTCCTCACTAATTCTGGTTCTGAATCTATTCAGGTGATCGGCGTAGGCTGTTGTTACGTGGGCTTACTCAATCATTGCCAGAAATTTTTCCACTATTATACAATGTATATATCTCATCTTTCCCTGAAATGCAAATTGTTTCTTTTAGCATTATTCTGATGTTTTTAACTTTCAAAATAGGTGCTGGAAGGGCACTATGGAACTGCATTAAGTGAGGCTGGTAGGCAACAACTTGATATCGCTAAACAGCATGCAGCAACAGTAACAGCAACTTTAAATGCTATTAATGCCTACGCTGAGTGGGCTCCACTTCCTGATCTTGCTAAATATGGAATTATTCATGGGTATGATATCTTTTTTGCAGTTTTCAGAAAATGAGATTTAAAATCATTGGCTTATTGGTATGGATTACTTTCTGACCGTCCCTCATGACAGGTGTGGTTTCTTACTTTCTTCTCCTGATTTTCGTCTTCATGCTTGTGAGTTTTTCAAACTTGTCTCCCCAAGGTACATAATTTAAGATATATGTATTAAGAACCATAAATCTTCCTTGAAGAACATATACATGACTATTATGAACTTTAATCTGTGACATGCAGAAGAAGACCTTCTGATGCCTCTGCTTCCGAGTTTGATTCTGCTATGAGTAGTATTTTTCAGATCTTGATGAATGTATCCAGAGAATTTTTGTACAAATCCAGCTCAACTGCTGGGGTTATAGATGAAAGTGACTTTGAGTTTGCAGAATATGTATGTGAGAGTATGGTATCTTTGGGTTCTTCAAATTTACAGTGTATTGATGGAGACAGCACTGCACTCGCTCTCTATTTAGAACAGGTAGCTACTGTAATTCGAGGCTTGATAGCAAAATGGAGTTGATAAAAGTTTTCATGCACCAAACTTTGGCCACCTAAAGAAAAAGAAATAATCTGCATGTCTTACCACTAGAGTGTCACTCATGTTAAGCAATTAACAATTCCAATTTAGTTAATGCAAATTTTAAATGTAATGTGTTCCCTACGATTCTGCTCATGTAGGATCTTGAAACTGTGCCTTTACTCGCCTTTTCTTAACTACTCTTTTTGGTGGTTTAAAATGAGTAATTGAATCATCTAACCTTGATCTTTTTGTCTTTTTGGTATTGTTTCAGATGCTGGGATTTTTTCAACATTTTAAGCTAGCTCTTCATTACCAATCCTTGCTGTTTTGGCTGGTATGTCTTCCCAATTTATTATTGTAATGACTAGATAGGTATCAATAACTTTCTCAGCATGCTTATGATGTTTATTTGTTTTCGTAGGCATTAATGAGAGATTTAATGTCCAAGCCAAAGATTTCTGCACATTCAACTGGGGATGGGTCAGCTGTCAATAACCAGGAGTCTGGCTCAGGACAGGCAGATAATGAGAAGAAGAAGATTTTAAGTATTCTAAATGATGATATGTGCAGTACAATTCTGGATATATCTTTCCAGCGCTTGCTTAAGAAAGAAAAACTTCTTTCTGGAACAGTCATATCTCTGGGGCCTTTAGAGTTGTGGACTGATAATATTGAGGGCAAGGGTGATTTTGGTCAGTACCGTTCCAGGCTGGTATGTTTATCTTCCCGGATCCATATGTTCTGTAGATTTTTTTATTAAACATGCCATTTGGAAATTTGTTTAGAAAGCATATTTGCTTGTGTTTTCTGTTGCAGTTGGAAGTGATCAAGTTCATTGCTACGAACAAGCCTTTTATAGCTGGTGCCAAAGTTTGTGAGAGGATAGTTACAATAATTACAATCCTCTTGAATTCTCCAATGGCTGCTCAGGTTTGGTTGAAAACACTTTTTGTCAAATTCATTTATCATAACTGCTCTTTAGGTTTTCAGCTGGCAGCATTACTTTATTATCTTCTTTTCCAATTTTCAGGACTTAGCTGTGATGGAAAGCATGCAAGTGGGTCTAGAAAATGTAGTGAGCACCATTTTTGATGGATCAAATGAGTTTGCTGGGGGCAGTTCAGAACTTCACCAGACATTATGTAGAATGTTTGAAGGTTCTATTGCAATTTCTTTATCTTATTGGAGGCTTACATTTTTATATTAGGTTTGCTGAAAGACTCTGGTTTTTGTGCATTGAAGGTTTACTTCAGCAACTTCTTTCTTTGAAATGGACTGAACCGGCCCTTGTTGAAGTCCTTGGGCACTATTTAGATGCAATGGGTCCCTTTCTCAAGTATTTCCCAGATGCAGTTGGCAGTGTCATCAATAAACTTTTTGAGCTTCTAACTTCGCTTCCCTTTGTTGTTAAGGTTCTCTGTCATTGTCTTGTTATGTTATCATCAATTGCAAATATAACTTTCAAAAACTTAAATATCTTAGTCATGCTTCTGCTTGGCAGGATCCTGCAACAAGCAGTGCTCGATATGCAAGGTTGCAGATTTGTACATCATTTATTCGAATAGCCAAAGCTGCTGATAAAAGCATTCTGCCTCACATGAAGGTGATTGATATTTCTTCCTATCTATTGAGTAAATGATAATCTATATTATCCAAAAACCAGGACCTCAATGTTGGCTTAGTTGTTTTGAATTAATGGAGCTGATGCTTCCTGGTTTCTTCTCTGAGTCACAGAATTTTCTTGGGTAAAACTGAAATGCAGTTTACTTTTTGCATGTTTTAGCGTGTGTGTGTGTCTATATATATATATATATATATATATGAGTAGGGATCCACTTACACACCACACTTACACGAGATCTTGACCATTCATCTCTCTAGTTTCAATGGTTAAGATTTATCACAACTTTTTAAATGAAAAAATATAATCATCTTTAATAAATATGATAAAAAGTGAATAAATCACAACCATTAAAAGTGGAGAGATGAATGGTCAAGATTTTGTGTAAGACTTGTGTGTAAGTGGATCCTAATTGTTTCTCTCTCTCTTTATATATATATATATATATATATATGAGAATTCTAACTTTTGCAGTATCACTGAACGTTTTGAACTCTACTCTGTCTCTATCAATAACCCTAGTGAATAGAAAGAAAAAGGGAGACTGAATATGCAATGTTGAAAATTCATATTTTTTGTTGTTTCATTTCTTTTTGACAATCTGGACTTCTCTCATGTTAACAGCTGGCTGTGATTCTATCTCATTGTGAAATTATGTGTTCTTGCAGCTTTGATACATTGCAGTCAATGCAATAAAAAATACTATCTAATCCATATTTCAATTCAGAACTAATAATCGGCTTTATGATGGCCATATACCTGGCCTGGTTGGGAAGATCAAATTAATGTAAAAATTTGGTGGAATTATGCATTTACATGTGTTTCCTATGCAGGGAATAGCTGATACCATGGCATATTTACAAGGAGGAGGTTGCTTGCTTCGTAGTGAACATAATCTTCTCGGTGAAGCATTTCTCGTGATGGCTTCTTCTGCGGGGTGATTGCTTGATCTGAGACAACTCATATTTTCAAGCAATGTATTGCCAAATCTTTTCTTATTGTGGTGATTTTCTTGCATCATGCAGGATTCAACAGCAGCAAGAAGTTTTGGCTTGGTTACTTGAACCTATGAGCCAACAGTGGATACTTTTGGAGTGGCAAAACAATTATTTATCCGAACCACTTGGTCTAGTTCGTTTATGCTCAGAGACAACATTTATGTGGTCAATTTTCCATAATGTTACATTCTTTGAGAAAGCACTTAAGAGGAGTGGAATGAAGAAAGGGAGTTTGAACTTGCAAACAGCAAGCTCAACTGCATTGCATCCAATGGCTTCACATGTATCTTGGATGCTGCCTCCTCTGTTAAAAGTATGCAGATTGCTCCTTATGTTTGGACCTTACTAAATTTCCTCATTTATAAAACTACCTTTAATGTTGACCATATCTTCTTTACAAAAACGACTCCATTACTAACTGTTGCAACTCTTTTTTTGATCTGCAGCTGCTTCGTGCTATACATTCTCTTTGGTCTCCATCTGTGTTTCAAATATTACCTGGAGAGATAAAAGCAGCAATGACAATGAGTGATGTTGAGCTATCAGCTCTTCTTGGTGGAGCTAACCCTAAATTTTCGAAAGGTGTTTTAACTTTCACAGACGGATCTCAGATTGACACAAGCAAAGAAGGATATGTAGATACAAATGAAGTAGATATACGAAATTGGTTAAGAGGTATCAGAGACAGTGGGTAAGTATGAGTTCTTTAGGATGGTTCTTAACTTAATTCACTAATTTTAATACATTTGGATACCCTTTCTATTGATTCTGTCTTTGGTCAAGAGTTGAATAGCTTGAAGGCTATATAATCATGATAAATTATTGAAGAAAGGGGATTACAAGATTTCCTACATAGAAACTGAAGCGTTAAGAATAAGAACGGATGGACAAATTTTACTGAGAGAAGACACAGTGTACATTTAGGTTTTGGGTTTTATGTATGTCCAAAATGTACAAATTGCTTCATAGACATACTGTTTATCATTCTGGTTTGTTTATATCTTTTTATCTTTGCTAATCCTTTTTCATTGCTTCTAGGTACAATGTATTGGGCTTATCAGCAACCATTGGAGATGCATTTTTCAAACATTTGGATGTCCATTCTGTTGCTGTAGCACTAATGGAGAACATACAATCGATGGAATTCAGACATATAAGGCAGCTTGTACATTCTGTTTTGATTCCTTTGGTTAAGCATTGTCCTCCAGATATGTGGGAAGTCTGGCTGGAAAAGCTTCTGTACCCATTATTTTGTTTCTGTCAGCAAGCACTCAGATGCTCTTGGTCCAGTCTTTTGCATGAAGGGCGAGCAAAGGTTCCTGATAATCATGGCATTCTTGCTGGGTCAGACTTGAAAGTGGAAGTAATGGAGGAGAAATTACTTAGAGATTTAACTCGTGAGATATGTTATCTCCTCTCCACTGTGGCTTCACCGGGATTAAATACTGGTCTTCCTACTCTAGAACATTCTGGGCATGTTGGCCGTGTGGATATATCTTCTCTTAAAGATTTGGATGCATTTGCATCAACCTGCATGGTCAGGTATGGAGAGAGTACACTTATTTATATGAATAATGAAACTATGCTGTTTACCTGTTCCATGTATTCTTGTTTGTCATCATTGAGATTTGTTTACAGTTTTCTTTTGAAGCACAAACAGCTGGCAATTCCGATATTGCATATGTCATTGGAAGCTTTCACATGGACAGACAGTGAAGCAGTGACCAAGGTTTCTTCCTTCTCTACCACAGTTGTTCTTCTAGCTATATTTACAAATAATGTGGAACTCCGAGAATTTGTTTCCAGAGATCTGTTTACAGCAGTAATTCAAGGTTTGGCCCTTGAGTCGAATGCTGTTATCAGTGCTGATCTGGTTAACCTTTGTCGGGAAATATTCATATATCTGTGTGACAGAGATCCAGCTCCAAGGCAGGTTAGTGTTTGGTGGGTTCACATTTTGCCTGAATTAGGTGGGCATATTACAATCAAATGATCTGGTATTTGTCAAATTATTAACCAAAAGTTGTATTTCTTGGGTTGTTCCAGATTTTGCTCTCCCTCCCATGTATTACCCCCAATGATCTGCAAGCTTTTGAAGAAGCTTTGACAAAGACAGCAAGTCCCAAGGAACAAAAGCAGCATATGAAGAGCTTGCTCCTACTAGCCACTGGAAACAACCTGAAAGCACTTGCAGCTCAGAAGAGTGTAAATATCATCATGAATGTTTCAGGTAAGCACCCCAGTCATTTCCAAGTAAGGCCTTTGTCAATTTATGTTACATGTACTAGATTCTGCAGGGTTGTACTCACTAGTCCATTATATTTTATTTCACTTTCAGCAAAACCTCGTGGCTCAGTTAATGCTCCAGAAACTAGAATTGATGAAGGGGACACTGTTGGGTTGGCTGCAATTTTGTGATCAGAATATTTGATGGTTTGTTGCTCTTGTATAGAATAGCTAACCCTGGAAAAGAAAGGTACATGCTTGACAGATACAAAAATACAATAGGCAGCTTTTTCTTTGCCATAGACTGACAGGAGCTTGTACTAATGCTGGTTGCTGGTTCAGGAGCTTGTGCATTATGCCTATGGCCATGTATGTATATCACTTTTGCTAATACTTGTGTTATTCCATCTCTCCTTGTTGGATTGAAACAAAAACCAGGTTTCAGTTGTAAAATCAGAGCTATCTGATACTATTTGTTTACAACTGTATCAGAAGAAATTTTTTTAACCCCATCTGAGAAATCAGAGTTGCTTGGAAGATGGGGTAAATCATAAGAATCGCGAGGCTTTGAGGTGGATAGGCCTTTTGATTTTGGGGACACATTTCAATGCTGCATGAAGCAAAGACCGAAAGATTAGGTACTTCAAAATTAAGAATAAACAAATCCAGTGCAAGTTAATTATTTGACATCGCAAGGGAAGTAGTTATGGGCATTTAATAAATTGTTGAGATCATGTAAACTTGTAAATTTTGTTTTTTAAAATATTAGTTCTGTTTAATATGGTTGTTAAAAATAATTAATAATTATAGTTATTAAGTAATAAATAAAAATTTAATGTTTTTATACTTAATAGATTAAGAGCGTATTTAGTGAAATTTGTGAGGGTTTTAGTTTTTTGATACTATTCATATTTCATAAATTTAAATTTTTTTTAAAATAAACTTATATTTTTTAATTTTTTTTAACTTGAAAAT